CCAGAAGCATACAAACTTTAAGACAACATGATTTACATATTTGGGCTTTACGAAACAAGTTTGTTTCGTAAAGCCGTTTAACCGATGGCGGTCGTCCAGGGTTTTGGGCCATGCCGACTCCATTCAAGGACGCCTCCTACCTTAGCAGCACGAACGGTCTTCAACAAAGTTGCGTACGAAATCTGCGTTTGCTGTGCAACAACTGGACCGCTTGTGCCGTCCATCAAAGCTTGGACAGCTGTAAGTACGTCCTCCTTTAAGTACCGACCACAGCGTCGGGGTGGTGCCATGTTTGGCAACAAGGATGAACACTTTTGACCAGAGTGTATTGAGTTGTGCAGGTATTGCCGCCATCACGGGTTGATACTTAGTTGATTAGTTTACCAAAATAGGCACATTTTGCTGAAACTGGCCATTTGTGTCAATTTAGGCATATTTCGTTCTCGATAAATGGCCGCGATGCACGTCCAGCATAGCCACGACATCGATGAAATCGAGGTGCAGGGGACCGCACGTGCCGCCGCGAACTTGCAGATGTTGTCGCTCATTCCGCATACGTCTTAGCCATCAACGTGATGATGGGATAGTTGATCGAGCGAGTGAGCTGCGCGTGGCCACAACCCCCAACGCATATTCCCATGGCATTGGTCGTGTGCGATGAGAAGTTGCGTGAGCTCAACAATGCGTGGTGGGGCTTCCATCGAAGTGAATTTGCTGGCGGAGATAGTGGTTCGCGCCAACCACGATATGTATGCATGCCCTTGCCTCGGGTTATACAATCGAGGGCATGGCCTTGCCCTCGACAACGACCAACGAGCCATGCTTGAGCCCTTTGGTCAGTTCTAGCATGTGACAACGCCGAGCGCAAGCGACAAATTGCTTTTGACCACTCAAACTCGACTACGTTGTGTATTGGGCACGTTAGTTCTGTGGATGGTGACTGTGTCGCCGCCTCCGCAACCACTCGCGGAGGTCATTCATTTGCGTTCGAAAGAATCGAAGCTGGTCAAAGTACCGCCGCCGGCCTTCCTCGGCCATGCTCTGTCGTTCGCGGGGCGTCATGGCGAGGATCTCGTCCATGCCTGCACAAATCGCACGCGGCTCAATGTTCCATTCCGTCCCATTCCCCATCAAGACCTTGCCGTTCGTCGGCCGCTCCGACGCCTCGATGAGAATCCCGGACGTGGCGTCAACGAATTCGTTCATCGGGGACGCGTTCGTGGTCAGCACTAGCGCGCCGGCGGCTCTCGCCTGGTTGATGTAGTGGCCAAAGCTACGACGATCTCAACTCGTGACACACAGCAACAGGCGGACATACCCTTCCATCGTACTGGGGCACAGAATGACGCTTGCTTCCGCCATCAGCTTGCCAAATTCGGCCGGGTCGATGTCTTCGCCCAAGTGGTACTCCAAATTCTCGGGCTGCTTGCTGCCGAAATGCGTCCAGTACGTCTGATTCGACAGCTCGTCCTTCGAGTACACGTGCAGCATGGGCAAGTCGGGTCGTTCGTTCCAGCAATCGAGGATCTTGGGTGTGTTCTTCTGCCAACTGTGGCCATTTGCATGGAAGATGCGAAGCGTGTCAAAGTTCTTGGGCGCGATCGAGCCAAACGTGGACGGAGACGTCTTGGCTTGCGCGCGCGCGAGCGCCGTCGGATCGCTCGACGTGTGTTGGGTCAACCAAACGCGTGCATGCCGAGGATTGCCCTCCCTTGCGTACCTAAGTACGGAAGATGACCTGGATGCACGAGATGGAACGGAGCTGCCTCTGTACCATGACGTGATGCGGTCGTATGCGTCCTGCGTCTTGGCCAGCACGACGTCGACCTGGTGGTAGTGCTCTCGCGTCAACTCGTACATCTCGACATTGGGCATCAGTAAAATCGTGCGGTTCTCAGGGAACGTTGGCCGAGTGGGCAAGCCTTCCCAAAAGTGATTCAAAAACAGGATCGCCGAGTCGGGACACAGATCAAAGTACGTCTTTCGGCGGCCTACGGGCCAGCACATCACGAAACGCATCCAGAACGGAGGGGGTGGTGGGTGGTACCGTCAAGTGTTAACTCGAGATCAAACACCCACAACGGCAACGATCGAGTGTGCAGGAACTTTACGTACACCATGGCATCTTCGCAGTACCCGTGACCGTGTAGATGGTCCGGGAGAAGGATGTCGACTTCAGGGCAGCGCGAGAGTTCGGCAAGGAGATCGGCCAGCGGAGCATCTTTCGACAACAAATGCGCGGTGCGGACTTCCTTCGGGTTGTTGTATGTCCAAGGAATGATAGAATTGTTCTCGTGGAGGCACAGGTCGTTCAGGTAGTTCAGGTGCAACAGGTCCGCCTCGAGTTCGGCATTCGTGTCGATCGTGCGACGAAACATGTACCCTCCGTGCGAGAGGCCCACGACCGTAACAAGGACCTGGACAGCAACGAGGACGCCCATGCACATCAGGATTGCCCATCGCGGACGAAGACACCGCGCACTGCCGCCGTGGGTGTGGGCCGAGGTCGCAGCCATGCTCGCACGAGGATATTCTGTCCAATCAGATGATTTGGGACAATTGCACGTCGTTTGATTGGTCCATGCATGCCATTTTGAAGAGCGACACGTATTTTCATGCAAATTTCCCAATTCGTACCCAACAATACGGACGTTTTACTGTGAAACGTTCAGTTTAACCGTACACCATTGACAATGTTAAACCAATCTCGATTGCGTGGTTACAATGGCAATTGGGTAAAACTACCAAGACATCCGGAGACACCAAACAGGTCATACGGATACTTGAATGCATACAAACGTCAAGATAGAAGGGTGCACCAACATGGACTCT